TTGTGCTTGGGTGGAAGGGTATGGAGGGAAAAGAAAAATATTTTCTTATTTAATTATAAAAAAGTTAAACAAGAAGACGAGGAAGAAAGTCTTTTGCTTTTTGTTTTATCATGTTATAATTATAATTGTTTTTAAGCATATCTTGTAATTTTATTATGTTAAAATTGTTTTTCCTGGAACTTTGCTCCTTCGGCATTTAGTGTGGGACATGTGGTCATTTTAATTTTCATGTCAACATTAATAAATTACCCTTTCTATTTGATAATAATAATAATTTTTTAAAATTAAAAATTTAAAGATAATATTTATATTTATTTATAATATCTTTTAAAAAATAAAAAAATTATAATTAAATGACTAGTTAAAATAAATAAATAATATTAAGATTTAAGTAAAAAAATATTTATTTACTTTAAAAATAAAAATTATTATTATTTTAAAATAAAAAGGTAAAAAAATTATATATTTAATAAATGATAGTACCCTATCATCACTTAAGTGACGAGGAGAGTAAAAACTAAAAAGAGCTAAAAAGTAAACTTTAAAAGTTAAAAAAAAAAATTATCATAATACAAGTACAATTAGAGTTTTAAGCTTTTAAGTAAGAAGGATATTATTTCTATCACTGAGTTGGATTTAGTCTGATAATAACATTTCAGTCCTTCCAACAGAATTGAACAGAATAGAAGCTTTTTTTTTTTTAGGTATTTAATTTATAATTAGTTTCGAAAATAAGACCTAGAGAGCTTGATATATTAGGGGTCTAATTTATTCCTTGAGGTTTCTTTTCAAAATTTAGATGTGTGTCCATCAAATATATATAAAACAAATAACAAAAGCATAACTTCTAACTTAAATTTATATTTTCAATTGAGTACATATTGTCATTAAATTCAAATAAATCTCGATTTCTTTTTGGCAAATTTTCGCATTAATCCCCCACATTAAATGAAAGCTTAAAAATGTACAATTTTTTTAAAAAAAAAAATTGAAACCAGTGAGGGATTAATTTTTGGAGTAGAAACCATTTTGAAAATGTTTGAATTCGCCAAATATTCATTGAGTTTATAACTAATTTTTTCATGAGACAAAAATTTAGGTAAAAATTTATATAATGACATAATTCAGATTTTTTTAATGATGTTAATGGAAAGAAAAATCAATAATTTACTTTAAAAAGAGTATTTTATGACAATAAAATTAATTAAAAATCTAATATTTTTTAAAAAGAATAGAATTTTGTTTTTGACTCGACAAAAGATTTTAAATATTATTTTTTTTTTTTTATTGCCTAATGATTTTGTTTGACATTAAACCATCTTAAATGACCTCCCACTTTTTCATCTTTCAAGTCATTAATCACAGATATACTTAAGAAAGCAAGATATCTGAAAATATAACATAACATGGATGATTAATATTATTTTTACACAATGGGGAGGTACATAGACCAGAGTCTCATAATTAAAAGCAAAAAATCTGATAAGCCAACCAAATTGAACAGGGAAATTAGAAGTTCCAACAAACATAACCAAAGAACAAGCTAAAGGATTTCAACTTGAAGGGGAAACTGCTCGCTTATGTTCCAGAAAAATCAATCAACTTGATCTCCACTACAGCCAAGGCTTCATTTTTCTGTCAAAAGATATTCCCGTAGCATTTGTCAAAGAATAAATTTCAACAAGGAGGGGAAACTGCAACAATACAAAAAATGTAACTGGAATGCTAGCCATTATAATTATGGGAATGATTGCCCACGGTCGATGCTGTAGTATAATCCAAAGAGCAGCAGAAAAGCTAACCGTCATTGCTGCAATAGAAGTAAGAATAGTGGAGAGGAAAATGATCAACTTCTTGGGTAAGGACTCGAGAAAATCTACCGGGTCGAAGCGCGATGCTAGGATTCCCATAAACATTAAGACTGAAGCTGATGCAGTAAAGAAGGAAATCGCATCAGACATTATAAATATCATAAATGATCTTTTCTGTAAAAAATTGGGAAACCCATCTTGAGCATTGCCGCCTGGAACAGTAAAGACTGCAGCAAACGTGATCGTAATAATGAGAGTACCGACAACAATAAAAGAATTTGCCATGTCCCTCATCCATTTTTCCCCCTCGTTCACTAACTCTTTATGGCTCCTTGAAAATACTTCGTAAGGGGTTTCACCATAATAATTTTTAGATTTTTTGCACCATTCTGGAACAATTCTTTCCACCTCCTGCATTCGGTTAACAAAAGTACACTTTAATTTTTAGAACAACAAATTAGGTTTTATTTTTGAAATAAATAAATAACTTACACTTATTTTATATACAAACTTTTAAGAAAATCAAAGCACACTTTATATATAAAAATAAATTAAAATAATTGATAATAATAATTTTAAAATGCTATAATTAAGTGGATGAGTAAGATGAAAACCTTAAACCATTGTACTTCTCTTTGCATATGCAATGCAGGGCTGGAGATTCGGGCAAGTTGAGAGGGAGGAGCTATCTCCCCTGCCACATGTAACATATTATTCCTGTCTCCATCTGTCTGATTAAGAATATGGGCTTTCCATCCCTCATTAATGCCATATAGGAGGCTGAAAATGTTTTCTTGACGATATTGGATTGCTATCATGAAAACGTGTCTGCGATCATCATTATGGAAAATGAGTGGTTGGGTTATTTTCAATAGCTCAACGACGAATTCAACAATGCCCTGCTTGGTAGCTTCAAACATCGCGTCATCCACTTCACAATCCCGCAGAGATTGAACTTTTAATGTTGAAATATGGTTACCCATACATCGAAGAATCTCAAAGTTATAGAGATGCATCAACTTCAAATTATAAATTTGTTTGATTCCTAAGTACATCAAGAATCAATTAACATATAGGATGAAAGGCATAAGAATAGAATAATAAAAGTATAAATGCTAAAATATGTAAAAAAAAAAATAAGTTTTATAATTGAGGGTCGGTTACCAGAGAAATTTTGGAGTATTAAGCTCAATCTAACATGTCGATCAAATATTCCAAGAGTAAATCTCTGTTAGAGCATATACAAAGGAGAACAATACAAAAATTTATTTTAGTACTACATTAACATAATTGATATTATTTTATATAAATTTACATAATTTTAAATATTTAAATTTTAAATAAAATATCTAATAAAACACTTTTTATCCAGTATATATATTCAATAAAACTTTCTTAAAAATTGTATACCACCATTAATTTATTCAATTCAGTTCAAAAAATTAAATTAAAAAAATAATAAAACAAATACCAATAAAATGAAAAGTTGCACCGGCTAAAAAGTACGACTTGACAAGTGAAACGTTACACTACCTAACATTATTAAAATGAACAAAAAAAAAATGGAAGAACCGAAGAAAAAGAAAAGAAAGAGAGTTGTCTTTGCGTAGAGAAATAACTCTCTTTTATAAACTTTAATAGACTTTTAATGGATTAAAATTTTATTTTTACTCTATTTTTAAAGAAAATAATAAAAGAAAGCATGTTCAAAAAAAAAAAATAAAAGAAAGCTTTCATTATATATACTGTTATGTACATGCGGACTTGAAACAATAATTATAAGTAATTAGATGGTAAGAGTCCCTTATTAATTTTTGTGTATTTGAAGGTTAAGATTTTGTTTGAGAATGTTTCTGGATACTTTAGTTTTTGGATTTTTTTGTATTTTACTATTCTAAAAAAAAATAAAATGTTAATTAAAATAAATATTAAAT